ACCATATTACAGATGCGTTGTCAGATTTAAGTTGAACCGCGGTCCTAGTGCGTGCCGAACCGTGTGTGGAGAACCATACGGTTCGATTTTTTTCTGCGAACTGTTCCACCCCTAGTTTGAAAGCAGTCCAGTCTAATAGACCTTCAGGTTAGACGCCGTATTGAATTTATGCAAATGAAAACAAGACTGTGAGGGACAGACTTACAGATTTTTTGTAATTGCACACACTGTATAGAGATCCTAGATACTGCAAGTTTAACAAATTTCAATACTGTTTTATGGAGTTTGTGTTCACCAAAAGGTTTTTTTTTTTTTTCATTATTTAAAAAAAAAATGAAGACGTCCAAGATTTAATCTTGGAAAATTGTGCATATGTCAGTTTGGTAACTAAAGGGACGAAAAAATGAGTAAAAAAAGTGTTGATGCACCTCTGTGAATTGAGACTTGTGGGTTCACTTACAAGGAATACACAACTGATCAATCGAACCATGTGTGAAAATACCCAAAGTCATTGGACATTAGAACTGCATAGTACAGTATAAAGGGTGTGGCTTTCTATTGCATGAATGCTGATATTAACTAAAATAAATCCAGGCATATGCTGCAATTCCACTTGCCAGCATAGTTTCTTTCCTCAACCCTATTTAAGTGCTAAGTCAGAGCCCAGTCAGCGAGAACCTGACAGACCGACAATACCATATAGCCAGTCAGATGCATTAGCACGTATTTGCCTGCGTTGCATTAAAAGCGTTTGTATTGTAGCGCTGTCTCCAACGCTGTCTGTCTCTCCCGCTACCGCCCTGCGTTAAATCCCTCTGCTAGACGGAGGGACATTATTACAAATCAGCCTGGCTGTACGCCCAAATTAAGACGACAAGGGCTTCCATTTAGGAGCCCATTTGCATCTCTGCCATGCTGAGAGATTCTACAAAATGTTTAATTTATCTGCATTTGTTTCTATCGCTGCATCTCTTCCTTTCACCTGTCATCACAGCTCGAGTTTGTACAGCACGTAAATCTCTAATTTTTTAACCTTTCCTTTAGAAACCTCTTGCAGTTAAACCTTAGGAAGGTTCCTAATTGTTGTGCTTTGTAATATTTGACAGTGTTGTGTCTGCAGGATCATAAAGGGATCTATGTTTTTGGGTAGCCCAGTGCTTGTCGCTCATGTCTGTGTATCTCACGGCTCTCGGACGCCATTCCTCTGCACCTGTCTGAAGTCAATCATATCAGTCCTCTCTGGCGCAGGCATATGTCAGCAAACAACAGGAAGTCACAGGACAATGATAAAGAAGGGTCTCTCAGGACTTCCTGTCTCTCATTGTTTTTGATTCTGTCCTCTTTCCTTCCATCTGTTAGTTTATCTGTGATGCAACTTTCTTTTATTTTCCCAGAGAAACCTTTTGGTGCTCAGAGGTTGTGCTTTCATAACTTAGGAGACATAACAGCGTTCACATTTGTTTTTCTTTGAAGTATCAGCTTTGTCTAGGATGATTTCTAGAAATTGACACAAATAAGACAATTGTTACAGAACAGGATATAACTGTAAAATGAATATAGATGGCAAGCTTGGATATTTTGGTCTAGAAAGAGTTTGAGAAATATTTGAGGTAGTATTTGATTGCAGACTTTGGTCTTTAGGAATATTTGACCAAACTTTCAGACATTTATTATCTTTTTTGAAACTCTAGAGAAGAATTATGTGAGATATGGTATTCTCATAGTCATACTGTATATGTCTCACCGAAGTAAGTCAAATGATTGTGTATTGCATAGCATAAAATATTGAGAGTATTTAATGAGTTCATATTAAGTTTGTGATATTGTTGAGATCTTGAGGAGACAGATGTGAGATTACTAGGGTCTTTAAATCTGAAAATTAAGAGACATAAGCAGAAGTCTCCATTTTGCACAGAGGTTGCTTTTTTCATAGCTTATTAGACATTATAGAGTTCTCATTTATGGCTCATTGACCTATGAACTTTGTTTCAAACATTCCTCCTTAAATTGTTTTGGATGAAAATAAATAGATACACTTGTGAGACAGTTGTTGAGGATGTAGCTAAATATAAAATTATATACAATTTGAGGATTGCTCTCAGATGATGGTATTGTAATATTTAGTGAGAAATGTTTGGGTTCTTATTGAA